TAAACTTATCTCCTCAACACAATCGCCTCAAAAATAAAGCTAAAAAAATAGTCATCGTAAATGATCTCTAGTATTGCAAAAAAAAAAATTTCAGCTCAATCGGTCGATACCTTCCTGTTAGAAGTCGGAGACATAAGTTGAGTCATTTTTACTGCCTGCACCACCTATATCTACCAGAAGAATTAAATCTTTTTGAGTCTAGCACGACTTCTGTTCTACTAGTCGTGATCTACATAGGCTACAAATTTTAGAATTTTTTGTTCAGCCGTTATTGAGAAATCCCGGAAGAGAGGATGCCCTTAAGTATACATATTTTTCCACACATTCTTAACTGGTAAAGATGAGTGCTATTCAATACGATAAAACTCAACCTTCGTAAGTAAAAAAATGGATGATATCGATGTAGAAACATTTGTCACAGATATGATCTTATAAATCGTACAATAACCTCTATTAGACTACTACCAACTCAATGACATTGACGCTCATATGATAATTTCTAGCACCAAAGTTGGCAATATTTAATTCTGACAAAAACTGATTTCGATAGCTCTCTTATAGTTTAAGACCGTGTTCAAAAACTCAGTTTCGTCAAAAACATCGGGTTCTGACATACTTTCGTCTTCAGTGTATGATCTGCAATGATACACATGATATTGTACCGAAAAATGTGTGTATACATTGGGAATGTCTAGTCAACCATAGAAAAAAACTTCCTGACTTATGCCTCTTTACTGGTAGAACTTTCCCAACTCTAAGTATACATCGATATAGAAGTTGTGCTCTTTTCTGGATCATTTCATATCTCCAACGGCATTTCACTATCTTAAGACAGAATGAAAACTGTTCTCTGATTTGAAAGAAGAGAGCTGGCTATAGCAACTATGGTGCCTTTTTTCAAAAAAAGATGTTAAAAACGAAAAAAATGTTTTTATTATTTGTTATGTTCTCTATTTTCATAGAATTTTACAGTTTTCTGAGAATCTTCAACTAGCACAGGGCTCAAATAGGAAATTCAAAAAAAAGGACCATGAGAGTCATTAGACCCAAGTGTCTTCTTCAAAATGAGAGAACAAGTTTCATGTTATCTCTTAAGCTAGCAGGATGCCCTGGGAGATGTGAAGACCTCGAAAATGTGCACTAGGCATGTTCTACAGCAGCTTCTGCCAGTAAAGAGATAGAAGGCTGAATTATTGTCTGCATGTGTCGAGAAACACGCCAAGTATATCCATAAAGTTTGAGCTGAATAGGATGTCATAGCTCGGAGATGATATTCTGAACGGAGAGCCTTAAAGTCAGACGAAAGAGTATGGGTGTAGGTGTGGATGTGCTAAAATATTACCATAATCAATAAATTCCGTACAAAAACTGAATCGTGAAAAAATAAGTCCCAGTAGCCTCTCGTGTGGCTGTGGATGTGGGAGTGTGAGTGTGGGCGTGCTTATGCGGGTATGATTGAAGAGAAGCCCACATCTACATCCTTAAAATCGATTAATAGGTAAGAATAGATTACAGACGATCAACGGATAAGAATATCCAAAAATCGAGGAAAAACTAAGAATCGATGATAGTCAAATTACTAGTAGTAATAAATTCACGTGAATGATTCAATCAATAATATAGTAGGTTGATTTGAGATAATTGAAGTCAAATTCAGAGAACAAAGTTGGCAACAGGTCTGTAGAGGTTAATCGATTATAATCGATTTTTTAAATTAAAAATCAATTATAATGGCACTATTATAATCCGATTTTTAATCAAAATAATGATAATAATTAATTTTTAGAAATTTAATCAATTATAATTAGTATTTTGATTCGAAATCGGATTATGATCGGATTATAACAGTGCCATTATAATTAATTTTTAGTCAAAAAATTATTGCTTAAAATCCGATTTTTTTATATGGGGCGTTTACGGAATACACTTTCTTATTATTAATTGATTTATGTGATTCGATGACAATGTCAGTTAAGTTTCAAATAATGTCCTATCCATGTGTGTTTGATAATATTTAATAAAGACTAGTATTAAATTATAGTATCATCACTTTACAGTGTCTTTTCATAGTATCGATGTGAATGATTAAATGATGTTGAATGACTACTTATATGTGATAGAATTTCTTTTTGTCAACATGTTTATATTCAAATGAAATAGGTTGTTTTTGAGAGAGAATTTACCAAATCAACAAGTGAAATTGCTCCATTTGTTTTATAATCATCCAGCAAAATTCATCGGATAAAATTTTAACACATTTCATTGATTTCATTGCATAAAACGTACAATAGAGAGACTATTTGAACAAAACATGAAGATTGGGTGTGGATATGGATCTTCTAATCAACACACCCATACTTACACCCACACCGATACCCACACTGCTAATAAAGAAGTACTCATAGTGGAAATTCATATGAAAAATGCTGAAAAATATTTTCTTAAAGTATTACTATTAACAGGAATATATATCTGAAGTCTTTGATGAATTATGAAAAAAAATAACTTTTTTGTAAATCACTCACTGAATATATATAGTTATTAATAGTTAGAACTTTCAGGAAACACTAAGTAAGAAAACATATATCTGTGGCAGAAATTTGGAACCATATGATAATTCATCGAGGTATTGATTGGAAATATCTCGTGTTCTTTATTTGTGATCATATGGATCAAAGTATTTTCTCACAACTCATCAAAGATTTCAGATTTATATTCATGTTAATAGTAATATTTTAGAGCAGTATTTTTTAGCATTTTTCGTAGGAATATCAACTATAAGTATTTCTTTATTAACAATTTAAAAATCAGTCCATTTGGTCAAAGTATGACAGAGATATTCATGCTTTTCTTCTTCGTAAAGTGACTTTTGATCCACTCTGAATGTACAGCTTTATTTACTTGAACCACTCGTTAACTAACAGCAACCAATTTGGCAAGGAGAAATGTTTTTCAACTGTTAGTTTACTCAAAATGCAGTTTATTTTTCTCGTTTCTTCGTTCACACGATCAGGAGATCCATTAAAAACAGAATGAAAACAATCGAACTAATGATGTCTTTGTTTCATTTCTCGTTCTTGTCAGAAAAACAAAAAGTTCACCTTGAAAACAAAATAATGTATGAGACAAGGTAGCCAACGTAATGCCATTTAAGTCATGTTACAGATGAAAAACAAACGAAAGATGGAAAGAATAATAATGCAAGCAATGATGTTGTTCGATTTGTTTTTCTCTTTCGTTCTTTTTGTTGGCAATCATATTTGCTATTAAAACTCAATGAAGTTTGTCGTTGAGTGTTAACGACAAACAAACACCCAAATTTCATATCGTAGAAAAAAAACAGAAGGCACCTACTATATAAATAGAAGAAATGATCTCTGTTTAAACGACAAACAACTATCCAACATTGTCTATTCACCAACAAACGACAATTCACCATGAACATGGATGAACAAAAATCAAAAAAAAATGTTTCCAAATCAATAGTGGCCACCAAGACAAGCACAACAGATCCATCGACTACCATGCAATCAAGACGGTACATCACTCACAATTATTTGATCCTCTGGGTCAACGAAAACATTGATCCAGCAAACAAAGATTACCAAAATACACTCGAACAGCTGCAAAGCATAGCCAATAAGGTCTATACCTTTACACAACGCGATGAATGTGTTGACTTTCTCACTGAAGTCAATGATTGAAAGGCATATCTGATTGTACCGGATACTATAGGCCAACAAATGGTACCCCTTATCCATGATATTCCTCAACTTGATAGCATTTACATCAATTGCAGTAGCAACGCTTTGCAAGAAGATTGGAGTAGTCATTGGAATAAAGTCAACGGTATATATACAGAAATGCCACTCATCTGTGAAGCATTGCAAACGGCTGTCAAGCAATGCAATAAAGATGATATATCCGTAAGCATTATCAGTATTAATGAAAAAGATTCCAACAAAGATCTTAATCAGCTTGAAGCCTCGTTCATGTACTCCCAAATATTCAAGGAAATTCTTCTTGATATGAAACATAGTGAACAAGCCAAGAAGGATTTTATTCAACTTTGGCGAAACGAATACAAGAATAACAAAGCTAAAGCAGAAGATATCAGTGAGTTCGAACGTCAATATAGTCCAGAATCATCAATTTGGTGGTACAGTCGCGAGTGTTTTCTTTACGAGATGCTCAACTGGTCTCTTCAAACGCTGGATGGTGAGACAATTATAAAAATGGGTTTTTTTCTTGCTGATCTGCACCGACAAATCGACAGTTTACATAAACAACAGGTCAGTCGTTATCATGGGAAGATCTTTGAGGTTTTTCGGGGACAAGGATTATCCACAGTCGACTTCGACAAACTCCAGAAGAACAAAGGTGGACTTATTTCCTTCAATAATTTCTTATCCACCAGTACAGATGAAGCTGCTTCTCTTGCTTTTGCTGAAAGTGCCCTACAAAAACCCGGTATGGTGGGTATCCTATTTCAAATGTCGATAGATCCCACCATCTTATCAAGTCCATTTGCCTCTCTCCGGGAAGTGAGTAATTTCGCGGAAGAAAGTGAAATCCTCTTCTCTATGCACACCGTTTTTCGAATTGGTGAAATTCGAAAACTTAACAATGAAACTTCGCTTTATCAAGTAGATCTTAAACTGACGTCAGATGAAGACCAACAACTACGTCAACTCACAGAAAGTATATTAGAAGGGGCGTCACATGAGAGTTGTTGGTCACGATTGGGTATATTGTTATTAAAAATAGGACAATATAGCAAGGCCGAGAAATTGTATACTGCACTATTCGAACAAATATCCAATGACGGTACTAGAGCTACACTTTACCACAATCTTGCAGTGTTGAAAACCCATCAAGGACTATACCAAGAAGCAGTATCATTTTACGAAAAATTCCTCAAGATCGTGCAAAAAACTCTTTCAGCAGATCATCCCGATTTGGCTACGTTCTACAACAACATCGGTGCAGTGTATCACAACATGGGTAACTACTCGAAAGCACTTGAATTTTACGAAAAAGCACTTAAAATCTTCGAAAAAGCTCTGCCTCCGAATCATCCCGATTTGGCTACTTCCTACAACAACATCGGTGGATTGTATGGGAACATTGGTAACTACTCGAAAGCACTTGAATTTTACGAAAAAGCACTTAAAATCTTCGAAAAAGCTCTGCCTCCGAATCATCCCGATTTGGCTACTTCCTACAACAACATCGGTCAAGTGTATTACAACATGGGTGACTACCCGAAAGCACTTGAATTTTTCGAAAAAAAAGCACTTAAAATCTTCGAAAAAGTTCTGCCTCCGACTCATCCCGATTTGGCTACTTCCTACAACAACACCGGTGGAGTGTATT